TTTTATGGCCCTCACTTCCTTCAGTACAACTTCAAAGGGACTGAATGTGGATACCACCAAAAGGACTAAACATAACAATAGGGCCATCAGCTTTCATCTACTCCTCTCTGAAGTCTCTCTTTCACCGGCAGTGAGGAAAAAGGGGGTGGAAATGTAATGCCTGGGATTGTCGCTGGAAAGATGGTGGGGTGGGGCTGCTGGGGACCCCTTAAAACCTTGAACCGTAGGGCTTGGGGCCCAGGTCCTGTCTAGACACCTGCAACCATCTTCTCTTAATAAAGATGCCTGTTGGAAGAAATATTCCGAGAGTTCTGTATTCTTAAGCTGCAAAGTGGGGTGGATCCTTACAGTATCAACTGAAAATAAAAATGTAATATCATCTTGTAGCTAGTATAAAGTATGTAAAATATACTTTGATTTTAATGATATAAGAAAAAGAGAAAAAATGCAGTTTATATTGAAAAGTTAAAGAGCACATTTATGATGTGGTTTGTCTCCTCACTCTTCAGTATAACAAAGGATAGGGCACCTTAACAAAGGGAAGGATTGCTTCCTCCCCAACAGCGAATGCTCAACAGGAATCACACCTCCTTTTGCAGGAATTCTGAGACTGCTTTTTAGGAGATGCTTAAAAGCTCTATTTCTTACCTTGAAAATTCATCCCTATCCTCCCTGTTTTGAAGTGTTCCATACTCATCCCTTTCCTCCCTGCCTTCTTGCCCTTTGCTTTTGTGGCCACTGCTGGGGTCCTTGAGCTCAATGAACTGCTGTGGCTCTGTAGCTGGTCTACTGATGCTCAGCTCCACTTTGCCACTCAGCTGCTCCAATGATACTTGGCTCTGTTTCACCACTCTACCCATCGTCCATCTCTGCTATAGTAATCTCCATCCATTTTTCCCATCCCTCCCTCAGCCTATCTTTGTTCAGTTCCTCATTCTCCTCTGACCTGGCACCCAACTCCTTGTTCTCCTTTCCTGCTTGCCTCCTGTGTCTGCTGTCCCGTCTCTGACTTGGCTCACCTCCTCTCAGCTGGTTTGTTGCACCAGTCCCCACTGTGCTCATGTCCAGCCCCTTTGCCTCGGCTGCTGGTACACTGCACTGGTCCCCACTATGCTCATCTCTGGCTGCCTCTGCTTTGGCTGCTGGTCTGAGTCACTGGGCTGAATTCAGACTGCCAGGCTGCCACTCTGTGCAAGGCTGCTAGTCTCTCTCATCTCTCTCATCTCTTTTTCATAAGTATAACACTTTCCCTCAGCTTTAATACTATAGCTTATCACTTTCTCTAAAAATACAACAAAATAATTATTCTTCTCATATCTTATTTTTAAACAAATGTTTAAAGCATTTATCATTCAGTCCTTGTCAAGAAAAACTCATTAAAATCTGCTAAAAAGGCCATATTTCATTTTATTATTTAACTAATTAAATTTATATGCTGTCCATCTCTATCGAATGACTCTGGACAGCATATATTTTAACCTTGGTCAAATAAGTTAACTTTATATATTTTCTTTTTACTTTTAAAAGTCTTAATATTTATTCCTTTTAAGTAGTGTCCCAGGGGCTGATTTTTTTTCATTCTCTAATATTAGTACCGCTTTATAAGACCACGCCTGAAATACTGCAACCAATTCTGGTCATCAAACTACAAAAAAGATGTTGAGACCTTGGAAAAAGTTCAGAGAAGAGCAACTAAAATGATCAAAGGCCTGGAGACTAAAACATGAAGAATGGCTGCAGGATTTGGGTTTGGCAAGTCTAAAGAAAAGAAGAAACAGGGGTGACATCATAGCAGTATTCCCGTATTTGAGGAGCTGCCACAAAGAAAAGGGGGTCAAACTATTCTTCAAAGCACCAGAGGGCAAGACAAGAAACAATGGTTGGTAACAGATCAAAGAGAGAAGCAACCTGGAATTAAGGAGAAACTTCCTAACGGTAAGGACAATTAACCAGTGGAAAAGCTTGCCTTCAGAAATCGTGGGCACTCCATCACTGGAGATTTTTAAGAAGAAACTGGACAGTCACTCCTCTAAAATGGTATAGGTTCTCCTGCTTGAGCAGGGGGATGGACTAGAAGACCTCCAAGGTCCCTTCCAGCTCTATTCTATTCTATTCTATTCTATTCTATTCTATTCTATTCTATTCTATTCTATTCTATTCTATTCTATTCTATTCTCTAGCTTTTCTCAGGAACTCCATAGGTATAACCAGGGCTTTTTTTTTGTCATAGAATGCCCAGAACGGAGTTCCGGCACCTTTTTTGGATGGAACCTTGTAGGGTAGGCAAGGCGGGTTGTATGACGTGTATGAATTCCAGCACTTTTTTTTTTTTTTACAAAAAAAGCACTGGGTATAACATATCTATTTTGTAAATCCAAAATAGGAAAGTTGTCCAAATCACTCTTCTGATTTGAAATGCACACATTCAAGTCACTTTTGGTTTATCATTTGTTTGTCCCTTTTAGCTATTAAAACATCAACCAGTTTTATTTGCAAATCCTTTATAAAATTGACAAATCCTTTGTCAATATCATTCTTTTATCCTGACAATTTAAAAACCATATCCAGAACAGTCTGCTTCTTAAGTGTATCCTCTTCTCTACTTTTTAAATTCATTTTAAATTCATTTTCATTATAACCAACAATCTTAAATGACAACTCTGAGTACATTCTTACCATTAATATCAAGTATTCTTGAATTCTCAAGAGTTTAAATAATTTTCTCCATTCTAATTAGTGGGTCTTCTTCAATTATAATGTTTAGTTCTTTCTGGTTGCTTCTAATAACTAATCTTTTCTTCTTATCATGTTTTCCTCTAATCCACAATATTTTTCTGGACAAGAGAACAACTAGTAAGTGAAGAATTTGATTGTGATTGGTTTAATTATTATAAATTTTTTGAAAGATTTAAATTTGATAAAAAAGTTTTGTTTTCACAGGAATTAAATCTGAATTGGACGTTAACTTATGTTTTGGAGATGACGTCTTGATTTCTAAAGCACGGGGTCTCCAACTTCCGGTCCATGGACCAGTACTGGGCTGAGGCATGCCAGCAACCAGGCCAGACAAACAAGCAAAGTCCCATCCGCGGGATGCAGGGAGTACATGAAACCATGCCCCCTCCAATCTGCGGAAAAACCTCTTTCCATGGAACCGGTCCCTGTTGCCCTCTGTTCTAAAGGGTGTAAAATGCTACCCAAGATGAATCTAGAAGATGAATACATTAAAGAATGTATGTTAAAATAGGCCTTTTTGGGGGGGTATAAATGGGAGAATGTATGGACAGAGATTAAAATTCACATTAAATTATAGTTTGAAAAAAAACTCTTACAAAATGATGCACTGTTGATACCTGACCCCAGATAGACTAATGAAAATATATAAAGGGATTTCTAATAAGTGCTGGAAATGTAATCAAAATCCCAGGTTCATTTTATCATATGTGGTGATCTTGCAAATACTTGAAAACATACTGGATAAACATAACAATGACAATGCAAAAATGTTTAAGATACAAATATTAATGAAACCTGAAGCTTTTCTTTTAAGTATCATCGTACCAATTGAAAAACAATTTGGGATGCTATTCCTTCACATGGTGATGGCTGTGAGGATTGTACTTGCCATACACTGAAAAGAAAAAGAGATGCCGACTGTTGAAGAATGGATTTTGAAATTGACTGAACTAGCGGAAATGGCAAAATTAACTGCTTTGATTAGAGATAACGGACTAGACAGCTTTATAAGAGACTAGAAACCGTTTGTAGATTTTCTATGCGCTAAATATAACAGATGGTTAACAGAGGGATTTGAAGATTAGTGTAATGTTTAGCTTAAAGAATTTACTGCTTTCTTTTTTCTTTCAGAACCCAACCAGGATGGATCCTACATGTTAAATGTTAAATCTAATTGACCACTACACTGTTTTTTTCTTTTTTCTTGTTGTTAGAGTTGAATGTATACTTTTGTTTTCTTTCATTTTGCTTGTTTTATTGTTTTGTAATTTATTCTCTGATAAAATAAATATACACTAATTCCTTAAGTTTATGATAAATCAATTGTTATATTCTGCAGAAATTTGTTTTGTTCATTTCATTGGTTAAAATTGTGTGAAAATGAATTACAAAAATGAAATTGAACTTTTTTACTTTAGTAGATAAATTTAAGTATTGTGTAAAATAATACACAATAGAACCACCAACAAGTGAAAAACCCATTCCTACTCAAAGTGTAAGATCAATGACCAAGTTAGAATCTGATGGCTTGGTTTGATATGTCAAAAATAATAAATAAACAAATCATGGACAACATAAATATGATTATTATCAATGCCTGGCATAAAACTAAACTTTGTTTATGTAGCTATGTTATAGATATTCCTGATTTTGATATGTGATGAGAATGAAATAATTCTAAAATTCATCCAGGACTTTAAATAATAAACAAACAAACAAATGTTGTACAGACTGTAGCAAGATATGTGCCTTGCTCATACTAGAACTGTTTCAATATGGGCTTGGTGAATACTTTATTTATATATTTCAGTTTGGTAGGCAGAAGAATCCTGTATTTTTATTCTGTTTTATATTAAAGTTATTTGTAATGTGCATATCATTATAGGCATTTGTCTGCCCTTTTATATGTTATGTTTACTTTGCCAATAGGCATACCCACATGAAACTATTTTGTGAATTCCCATATCCATGGACTTTATGAAATGCATCCATAACATTCACATAAGACTCTATAACTGCCCTCAGACATAAGAAGTTTGGAAATAATCAAATTTAGAAATAAAACATAAATTCTATAAATTACAATTGTTTTTTAATTGTGCTTCTCTGTGATTTGAAGTATTAAACTAACAAAAATTGAGAAATGTGTTTATCAGATCTGTAGGCATCAGACTTGGGACTGATTTTATTATACCAGTGTCTTAAAATCTGAAATATGTATAACTCATTTTTTATGCAAGTTATCAACAATTATCAAAACTCACCAGAGATTGTATTACTTATTTTGACAAAGATCTTCTCAAAATCGGCGAAGTCACTCCAGGAGGATTGGAACATATGCATGAAACGATTGATATAGAGATTTTCCATTCTAAAACCCCAAAAACAGCATACTTAATGGTTACAGTTATAACATGACTTTCTTCCATGTCTCACACAATTTTTAATTTTTCATATATCATTTTGCTCCAGCTTGTAATTCTTGGAAATGAGAATCTAGTCACATCAGAATGCACCTTTAGTAAAGTATTTGTTTTTTTTAATATATGGAGATTGAACACCTGTCTTACTTTGAATCATATACAGTAGACCTGTTTATTATACCACACTCAGGTGTACAAAAATCGTTGCATATGGATCTGTCCTGCTGCTAGTCATGGTTGATAACTGAAGGAATGCTATATAATTCTAAAAATTCCTATCTTTTTCTTGAATTCAGTGCTTTATAATTGTTTCATGTTGTAGGCCCACTCCTAGATATAATATAATCTTCTGATACTTAGTTTACTAACTATTCTCGTAGTAGAGATATAAAGCAAGATGTGTTGTTATCCTCCTGTCCATTTTGGAAAGAAAGCCTGTTTTCCAAAAGGTACAGGAAACTTTTTGCAAGCAAAGATATTTTATATTACAACTTCTATAGTTTTCACAAATATTACCAGCAAAAAAGAGGAAGGGTGAATGTATCCTCTCCAATTTGTAAGGATCATCTTGCATGAATGCCTCATCTTATCTAAAATGTTGTAGAGTTATCCTCACAGGTGTGATTTTTGCTTACAAATTTCATCTAATTTTGTCCTAGTCAATTATTAGAATGTAAAAATTTCAAAATCTAAATAAACCAGGCAACCTTTGGCTCTTTTTGAATTTCTGTTTAACCTAAAATTTTCAAGCTGATGTTAAAGCCATTTGTGATTTCCAGTACTAGTCAATAGGAATCATGAATTTTTCTTCAGGTCTGGAACTTCAGAGCAGAGCAATGACTCAGCGGTTAGGAAACTGGGCTTGTTGGTTGGAAAGCCAACAGCCTTGGTTCAAGAACAGAGCGTTGTGTGAGGGATAAGCTCCTATCTTCGCCTAGATCCTGCTCACCTAGCAGTTCGGAAGCATGCAAATTTGAGTAGATAATAGATATCACTTTGATAGGGAGGAAACAGCACTCTGTGGTGCCATGCTGACCACATGATCATGGAAATATTTTTGGACAGCATCGCCTCAATAGTCCTTGAAATGGAGATGAGTGCTGCCTCCCATAGTAGGTTATGACTAGCAGAGTAAAATCAGCAGGGACTCCTTTCCTCTTCTGGAACTAAACCAAACAAGCAGCCTTGGATTTAAATCAAGGATAGGAGCCACCTAGAATTGGTTATAAGATGGATAGCTATATAAATGTTTTAAATTAATTAAGTAAAAAAATATTCCCCCAACAAGAATTGCATTCCATTTTGGTACAATCTCAGGAGCAATATGTTTGGTAGAGCTGAAGCAAAGAATAAATAAGGTCAGAAGCAGAAGTATCATAGAATCATAGTACTGGAAGCAAACTTAGAGGTCTTCTAGTCCAAACCCTTGCCCACAGAAGGAGTCCTTATACCATCCTGGATGACAATTGTCCAATCTTTTCTTGAAAACCTCCAGCAATGGAGCACCCACAATTTGAGGAGGCAAGTTATTTCACTGATTCATCGTTCTCATTGTCAGAAATTCCTTCTTAGTTCTAGGTTGGATCTCCCTCTGACGAGTTTCCACCTATTACTTCTTGTCCTTCCCTCAGTTGTATAATTTAGCCTCCAGATACCTTATCATCTTAGTTGCTCTTCTCTGCATTCTTTCCAGGGCCTAAGCATCTTTTTTGTATTGTGATGACCAGAACTGGTTGCAATATTCCTAGTGTAGCCTTACTAATATAGTATAGAGTCGTATTATCACTTCTCGTGATCTTGATGTTGTCTGTTGATGCAGCCTAGGACTGCATAAACTTTTTTGGCAGCTGCACCACACTGCTGAGTCATACTTAAATGATATAAGTAATTCTTTCTCACCCTCTCTTTTTTTCTCATTTTGTTTCTGATGTTTCATACTTCTCTTAAGAAGTATGGAGTGAAAGGGGAAACAACTTTTCCCAGACATCTGAACTGTTTGGTTGCAGAGATGCAGAAATTAAATTAAGGCTAAGCTAACATGAAATTATGGGTTATAAGCAGCACTATAAGCCACATCTCTGAACTAAATAAATTATTTTCCAAATTGTGGAGTGCCTCTACAACCGATACTTGCTAAATATTTGGTGATTTCTAATTATTGATAGATAAAGATGCCTTCTTCCTATATATGTCCTATAAAACAGAATAATGTTATGTACAATTCCTAAAATATGTAAAAAATTGCACATTAAAGATATATGTATCATTAAACAATATAAATTGCAAGAGATAATTAAAAATAATTAACAGCTATGTTTCATAGCACTTTATGTGCTAATTCATTTTATAAAGTGAATTGAAGAAACTTCAATTGACAGAATTAAACATAAACTGCAAAATAATATAGTGAGCAATATATTATACAGAATCCTTTAACTTATACCACCAGGAAGAAAACTATCTACAGGCAATATGTCATCTTGCAGAAAGCTGATCAATCTGTACTACAGAATTCCAGGGGAAGTTCAAATTGAGTAGGTCAGGGATCCAGAGAATGATAGGCTCTTCATTTTTTTAATCTGTCCTAGACAGGCCCATAGCCATGCTTCACCTGAGCTAAAGTAATTTTTTTAAAAAATGGTTTAAACACTGACATCTCCATTTTTTGCTTTAGCATCTAGGGCACTAACAGTCTGCCTCTTCCTCATATATCTTACCTAGCATCCTTAATAATATGCTAGCATAATTCAGCTGAAAAATAGCCAAATGTCAATGGCACATATTCATCCCATGTTTTGGATCATTTTTAATGTAAGGATGGGCATGCTTTGGGGATAGAACCTCTCTGAAATCTGGAAGGAAAAACCTCTCCAAGTAATGTAAATTCAGTCTTCAATTCTAGGCAAGAAGTTGAATTAAAATCCCTGATCCTCAAATGCTGTTCTCTCCACTATGTTTTAAATACAGGACACTATCTAATATAGAACTTTGCCCCCCTCCCATTTAGAGGAATATTCATCTGTAATCATGGAAACCAATCTAGGGAAAATGGATTACATATGTACAGTAATGGATTATACTGTAATTATGTTCTATATGTATTCTATACAGTACTATATACAGGTAGTCCTCAAGATACTGCTGTAATGAAGCCTGCCCATTATGGTCATATGTCACAACAGTCGTTAGTTGAAACAGCCTCAATTAATGACCCCATTCCTTGCTCTCCCTGATGCAAATGTTAAATGAATGGGAGAGTTGTTAAACAGAGCACTGGTTGCCTCAGGGGGAAGTCAAGGTCTACTCAGGCTGAGGGTTGCCTGTCCCAGGCCTCCCAAGGCTATACCCATCCCCTGAGGCTCCCTGTGTGCCACTTCTCACAGTCCTTCATCTTCCTTCCTACCCAGCAATTAATGGGAGATCAGAGTATACAGAGTTTGCAAACTCCAACAGGGAAGGGGAGATCGGGGCAGATGGAGTTTCATTCTCCAACATAGAAGGGGAGATCCCACCCAAGAACTCAAACCTGCTCTAGGGCCAAGCAACAGCCAACTTACCTGTCAAGATATTTAAATTTATAACTAGAACAGTGGGCACTGTGTGAAAAGTCAAAGCGCACAGTTATAGCTGTTTGATAGAGTGCCGGCTACTGCATGAGGGAATCTGAGTTGTAATTGGTTGATGTTAGAGTAAAGGGGGAATTTCCTTGTTTCCTACCTTTTTGTCCTGTGTGCCCTGTATGATGTGATTTGCCTGACGATGTTCCTGCTGTGTTGATTTACCTGACTATGCTCCTGTTTGCCTCTCTTATTTACTGTAAATATATTTATTTATATAAATAAATATAATATAAATAAATATAATATAAATATTCCCTAACATTACCTTTCTGTTGTTTCAGTTTCTGAGGGAGGCATCCAGCCCTGTAGGATTAGTTCCTTACAGCAGGGCTTTTCAACCTTTTCACAGATTGTACCACTTTTAGGATATAGCAGAATTCAAGTACCACCAGTTGCCTAGCAAGATATCAAAAACTTGATGACCAAAAAAAATAATAATAATAATAATGGAAAAAAGTGATAAGAGTATAAGTAGTCCTTGACTTACAACAGTTTGCTTAGTGACTGTTGAAAGTTACAACGGAACTGAAAAAAGTGATTTATGATCATTTTTCACACATAACCATTGCAGCATCCCTAGGGTCAATCTACATTTGGATACTTGGCAACTGATTCATATTTATGATGGTCACAATGTCCCAGGATCATGTGATCCCCTTTTGCAATCTTCTGACAAACAAAGTCAGTGGAGAAACCAGATTCACTCTTCCTTTTATATCCTCTCTTCTCTCATCCCTCTTTTATATCTTCTCTTGTCTCCCCCTTCTTTTATATCCTCTCTTCTCACCCCCATTTATATCCTCTTTTCCCCCTTCTTTTATCTTTTCTTTCCTCTCTTTCTTTTATATCCTTTCTTCTCTTCCCTTTTTATATCCTCTTCTCTTCCCTTCTTTTATATCCTCTCTTCTCTCCTGCCTTTTATATCCTCTTTCCCCCTTCTTTTCTCTTTTCTCTCCCCTCCTTCTTTTATATCCTCTCTTCTCTTCCCCCTTCTTATATCCTCTTTTCTCCCCTTTTATATCCTCTCTTCTTTTATATCCTTTCTCTCCCCTCCTTCTTTTATATCCTCTTCTTTCCCCTTCTTTTATATCCTCTCCTCTCCCCTTTTTTATATCCTCTCTTCTTTCTTCCCTTCTTTTATATCCTCTCTTCTCTTCCCTTCTTTTATAGCCTCACCTCTCTCCCCCCCCCCTTTTCTTTTGCATGCACCTCCAGCTGATTCCTCTCAAGGCTGCGCTTCTCTGTCTCTCTTTTGCAGTCCCCTTCTCTTTCCCCCATTGTCTTTTTTCTCTCCCTCTCCTGTTAAAATCTTCTCTTTTTATAGCCTCTCCTCTCTCCCCCCTCTTTTTCTCTTCCATGTGCACCAGAAATGCCATCTTGGGGCTTCTGTCTCGCCCCTGCAACCCTGCATAAATGTGTGCCGATCCTGGGCTTCTGCCCAGCTCCCATAGCTCTGCAGAAATGCTGATCAGCTGTAGCTTTTCGTGGTGATCCTGGGCTTTGCTCAGCCCCATAGCCCTGCAGAAGCGCCGATCAACTGTGCCTGCCCGTGGCTATCCTGGGCTTTGCTCAGCCCCCATAGCCCCGCAGAAGTGCCAATCAGCTGTAGCTGCTTGGGGCGATCCTGGGCTTTGCCCAGCCCCGACAACCTTCCTTCAAACTGTAGCATTTCCAACCAAGTTCCCTCCCTCTCTCCCTCCTTCCCTGTCCTTCCTTCCTTCCTTCCTCCCTCCCCTGCTTTTTTTAAAACTGCCAGAGGCTGGGGCAGAGGTGGCAACAGACAGGCAGCAGTGGGCAGAGGCTTCCCCATCATTGCCTCTGTGTGGCTCAGCTCACCACTCCCAGACCCGCACACGTGTTTGTGTGTGAGTGTGTGATAGCACACGTATGTGGGGTGTGTGTGTTTGTGTGTCTCACCCCTTGCAGCCCATGCCCTCAACAGAGACCTTCTGCGATGGCAGGCTGCAAACTAATGAAAGCTGGTTTTTTATAGTATTTGTTGCTTTTTCTCAACATGCCACTGATTGCATCATGCCTATGCATGGAGAAGGCAGTAAGTGTGCGAGCGCTGGTGTCCTGGGGAAAAGGGAAGTGCTTCTCCTACCTTTTTCCTTTCTCAGTGGTCAGCAGGGATGCCGGGTGTTCGCCACCTCCTCTTTGCGTGCCCAGGGAGCGGGCCAAGGCAGCCCCTCGCTGGCCCTTTCCCACCAAAACCTCCTTTTATATCCTCTCCTCTCTTCCACCTCCTCTTCCTTTTCTCTTCAGTACACCTTCAGCCAGTGGTGGGATTCAAATACCTGAACAACTGGTTCTATTATGTGATGCAGGCCTGGGCCTCCGATGCCTAGAATGGAGTTCCAGAAGTGGCATCGTGCACTTCCAGTGGGCCATTCTAGACCTGGGAGGCCTCCTCCAGGCCTCCAATACCTAGAACAGACTTCTGAAAATGGCATCAACACACTTCCAGTGGGCCGTTCTAGATCTGGGAGGCCTCTGAGGCCTAGACTGGACTTCCAGAAGCCAGCCAGTTCTCTGAATTCAGGTAAATTTAGCTACCAGTTCTCTCGAACCGGCTGAATCCCACTAATGCCTCCAGCTCCCCGAAGCACTGATCAGCTGATCCTGGCATTTCTGCCATGCCCTGACAGCCCTGCAGCTCCAGCTCTCTCTCCCTCAGGCTTGTGCAGTGCTGCCACCACTTCAGCTCATTCCTCTTCCCCTCCGCTACCACTTCTTTAGGATGGTCACATACCATCTGCCAAGTGCCAAAGTACCACTTGTGGTATGCATACCACTGGTTGAAAAGCCCTGTCTTATAGAGCCAGTCTCATGGCAAACTCCTCCGATTTTGCAACATTCTCACAATACTGTAGAGTTTTTTTTAAAGAGCTTCTATATTTTTAAGGAGGTTCCAAAACTGCACAAACAATTGGAGCCTCTTTAGAAAATGGAGCCTCCTTTAAAAAATGGAGTCTTCTTTAAAAAAAACTTTACAGGATCTGAGAATAGAACATGTTGCAAAATCGGAGGAGTTTGCCACTCTGTAAGGAACTGATCCTACAGGGCTGAGCTCTCTCAGAAACTGAAACAAAAGAAAGTAAAGAAAGGGCTTAGTGGAAACCTAATAGCAGTTTTCCAATATCTGAAAGACTGTTACAGGGAAGAGGGGGTGGATTTACTCTCCATAGCATCTGAGGGCACAACAAGAAGCTATGGGTGGAATCTTATCAAAAGGAGATCCAACCTAGAAATAAGGAGGAGTTTCCTGACAGTGAAAACAATTAATCAGTGGAACAACTTGTCTCTCAGAGTTGTGGGTGTTCCATAGCTGAAAGTTTTCAAGAAAAGATTGGAAAACCATTTGTCCAGGATGGTATAAAGAACCCTGCCTTGAGCAGAGGGTTGGACTAGAACCGTGGTGGCGAACCTATGGCACGCGTGTCACAGGTGGCATTCAGAGCCCTCTCTGCGGGCACACGCGCCATCACCCAAGTCCTAGGCCTTCAGCTGGGTTTTATAAACCCTTTTTGCTTTAGGCCTCCGCCGCTGTGTGCAAAAGAAAAAGGTTCAATCAATCAATCAATCAATTTCAACTTCTCGCGGGGGAAAAATGGATCTCGCAAAGTTGGAAATGATTGATTGAACTTTTTAGTCCCACCCAGTCTGCTGTTACCATCGCAGCCATGCACACCCAATAGGCCAGGCCCATCCAAATGGCCACACCCACCCAAAGGGCCACGCCCACCCAGCGCCCAACAATACATAAGTGGGTTTTGGGTTGCAATTTGGGCACTTGGTCTCTAAAAGGTTCTCCATCACTGGACTAGAAGATCCCTTCTAGCCCTATGATTCTATGATTTAATACCAAATTAAACCTAATATGAGAGTCATTACTATACTCACGCTTTGGTATAATTCAAGATAAAGTCGACTCCCTTTTCACTGTCAAATTGGATGTTGCGAGGCAATTCCTTATGAGATTTGGCATCTATGTTCAAAGGAAAACCTGGATGCCATTCTGCCCATCTAGGTAAAAATAAGAATTTTTTTTTTTAAACAAGTTTTATTGATTTTTTATTGTTACAACAAGATGCTTGAGAAACAACGTGGTGACAGGGTAATCAATTACCCAAAAGCAAAATCATACATATGTAATTCAGATTAAATCATTAAAGACTCCCTCTCTATTCCCTCAAATAATATAATATATTCAAATTAATGTATTTTTCAATAAAGTTCAATCAATCAAAACAATCATCAATAACATTCCATTTCTATAAATCCAAATCCTGTTTTGAGCTTTACTTTTTACAATTGCCATATTCCAATTTGGTTTAGATAAACATATTATTAACACTTCAGGTGTCCCTCCTTTCCCTTTTTCCTTAACATAATCAGTAACTCATTTATTAATATCATTTCTTCTTTTATCAAAAATTCCTCTTATTCTCCTTCCATTACAAAATAGCTATCCTTCCTCAAAACAAGAATATTACTCAAAAAAAAAAAATACATTTCGACTCTATTTTAAATCTATAATCTATCAATCAATCAATATCTATGTAAAACTCTTTTAACCCACTCAGTAAAATTTAAATCCGGTCTGAATAATATGTTATATTCACAACAAACATATTAATACAGAAAAAAACATCTTCTCACTAAGTTCACATATTTAATTAATCTTTATTCAATCAGGATCTCTAACACCTTATTTACCAATCTTAAACCTTGAGTCAATCCGTGTCTAAAAAGCCTTTTAAACCCATTGTATACAGTTTTAGGTCACATTCTTATATCTTATTTTAGCTTTCTTTTTGTGCCAAGCAGGTTTCCATAACAGAGCCTCTATATCAACAAATAAATCTCTCCTTAATCCTTGTGGTATCATTTGAGTCAAGAAAGAGCGTTCCCTCCTCTGTTTTAGGGACCTGATTCCTTTGTAGATAATCCCTTGTTGTTTTAAAAGTTCAAGTCTCGACATTTGAATCTGCTGAGTAAGACACTCAATTATGTCCAATTTTGTGGTTAGTAGTTGGTTATCAAAATTGTCATAGTTCTCAATCAGTTGTATTTGCACGTCCATTTCTGTTAGTTTTGAAATTGTGTATGGTTTAGTTACAGTCATTTTTTGATTATCAGAAATCTCAATAGGTTGTATATAGAATGACATAGAATCTTCTTTAATGTTGATTAATTCCTCTTCTGTTGTTTTTTGGTCTGTAGAATAGTCAGATGAAATCTGAAGGTCGGTTTGTAAGTTCAAAGTAGAGTTTCTGTTTTTTATTTCTGTAGTACTCTCTTTTATTTGCAGACATATTTGCTCAGTGGCTTCGTAGATTTTTTCCAATATAGGTTTACAGTTGAGTTGTGAATAGGGTTTCTCCATTTCAATAGTAACTAGAAACAGGCCTGTTATCTTTTAGTGGAAGCTGTATTTAATAACATTTAGCCAGTGTCCATCCCCATCAATTTAACAGCTGTTGAATTTCTGTGTCTTTTACCTTTTATGATGATCTGAAGGTCAAAACCAATCTCAACATCAAACAGCAAAAAAAGGTGCAATTTTAAATTTCTCCACAAGGTGTCCTCAGTAGACTATAAAATCTCTTCCCAGACACCAAAAATGACATTGACAAAATCAGGAAAAAATAATATTCTTCACATATAAACTAAATCCAGTAATAAAATTCAATAAGGATTTTTTCAAGACCCCAAAGTAAATAGAAATAGAAAATAGTCAATTAAAATTAATTTTCATTTCATTTTCAAAGCTTCTCTTCCCACACTAACAAACGCCACTCTCTCAAAGAAGGGAAATAGTTCCAAAAATGCTTTTTATAGGAAACAAAAAAGAGAAAAGGGCTAAGAGAGGGGGGGGAAAGTCTCACCCGGATCAACCACAGTGGTTCTTTACGCTTAGATGTTCTTCTGACTTTCGGTTACAGCAGCAAAGTGATCAGCCATTTTACTGGCCAATGTTTTCTCCATCAGCCCTAAGGAGCAATCTCGGACCGCGGAAGGAGCTGCTGCCCTTCCACAGTCGATGAGGGCCTCCTCAACGGCAGTCACCCCTCCAGGGCGACTTTTCGACCCGATTAAGGGTCTACCGGCAGAGGGAAAGCAGCTGGCAAAGAGAGGAGTCTCTCCACACGGCTGCACAGGCCACAATCCGGAACTGGAAGTCAGAATAAGAATTATTGAATAGAACTCTTTGAGTAATTTTCAAGACTAAAAGAATAAAATAGCTAAAAATATTAATATATTTCAGATCAAGCAAACAGAAATGATTATCAGTTCTTTGTTTATATAAATTGCTTTAAAACCCAACCAGGAGAACTCTGGGGAGAAAAAATTTGGAAATGACTGACAATGGAGATGCATATAGATAGATAACTATAGAACAGGGGTTCTCAACCTTGGCAACTTTAAGATTTGTGGACTTCAATTCCTGAAACTGGCTGAGGAATTCTGGGAATTGAAGTCCACAAGTCTTAAAGTTGCCAAGGTTGAGAACCCCTGCTATAGAAGAATGGCTATTGGATTTGTTGGAATACATTTTGGAATGTATTTTGTATTTCAGCAACTACACAAGTATTCAGACAGTGAATGGCAATGTTTGTAAGTTTAGTAGGTATAATTTCTACAATATATACTCTATGGTCTTTTATGTTCTGAAAGTTACATTTAAAACCATTAAGAGGCAAGGCCCATGGAGATTGTACATTGTACACTTTATTTGATAACTATGACTATGTAACCATCCTCTGCTATGAATCTGTATGGCTATATAATAATCCTCTGCTACCATTTCTATATAACAAAACAGAATTTCTAACAGGTTATGGGCCCAGTATAAAAACCAGAGATAAACCAGAGACTGCATCTAAGCATGTAGCAGCAGCATAAACAGCCTAGAGGTAAACCAGAGGTAAACCAGAGATAACCCAGTATAAACCCAGTATAAGTCCAGATTAGAGGAGAAATATAAAGTTCAGCACAGAACCGAACAAACCAGCCATAGCCAGCTACAGAAAATAAGTGCAAGATACAGCAACAGAAAGAAGACTGTAACAAAATAGATAAATAAAAAAAAATGACCAGTAACAAAGCTGAAACAAAGATTTCACTTGTAAATCTGACAAACCAGAACTACTGTAATGATCTGCCCCAGCTGGTCCATCAGGAAAGCAAAACTCTTGACTCTATTAGGATTGATCAAAAGAACTTTTACTGAGAGATAATGGGTGCAGAAAAGTCAGGCGGAATCTGAAGGTCCTGCACAAAGCAATTCTTTCGTTTTCCCCAAACCCCAAACCCCCTGACCAGTGCAACAGCAGTCAATATGATGCCATAGAGATGTTATGAGAACACTGAGGTGCTGGGTAGATAACAGATCACTCTCAGGGCATGACGCCCTTGGAACCAGACTGGAACCGGCTGAGGAGTCTGTTTCTTTTCTGAACACAGTTCCCCTCCCTAATTCCAAAGCAGTTACAGCTAAAGCGAAAGCATGCAAGGAATGCCAGAAGCCTTCCTCCCCCTCCCTCCAACAAAATGGCAAGACACCTGCATGGTGGACCTGAAAACTACCACTCTTGAAAATTCAAGACAAAAATGCAGCTAATAAGTGAACATACATGGAAATGTATAAAATAAATGAAGCTAGGCCAGAACATCCTTCAGATGAGTGGATAGAGAAAGATCAGAAACTTCAAAGCACAATCTCTTAGCATAGAAGATGATTAAATCATACATATAGGTAAATGTGAAACTGCTAAAGAAATGTGGGAAGGATTACAAAAGGTGCATGAAAGAGCTAATCACAGCAGTAAACTGTTTAGAAAGTTATACCAAGCTGATGAAAGGTCAGGATGTGCAGGATTACATAAGACAAACCTTAGAAATGGTTGAACACTTGAGAGGTGTAGGAGAAGAAATAAAAGATTTTCATGTCGCAGCACTATTACTTAGTGGTTTATCAGGAAGTTATGAAACACTTGTCACGGCACATCCAGATGATGAACTAACATTGGAATATGTTAACAGCAATCTTACAAGCATAAAACAGAAAGCATTAATAGTGATGATGCTACTGTCGCAGTCTGTTTTAAGACAGCTTCCAAACCCAAGGAAGCACCATGCAAAGGGGTCAAGGTCATAGAATTCACTCGATCATCTAGCGATGGCAAGGGATCTCTGACTAAAGACCCGAAGCCAATCACGGAAAGTGACAGTGGTGGAGACGACGACCCTCTGGTAAGTAGAAACATAAGATTGATGATGGTGACTGTAGAGATGGTGGTGTTTTCCTCAGAGTGAAAAAGCATACTAACAGCTTTGTTAGATTCTGGCTGCACTTGCTGTCTAGTTAATCTCAGTGTAGTGGAGAGACTCGGAATGCACCTCTGGGAACTCAAAACACCAATAGTGTTTAGCCAAGTAGGTGGTTCACTGGCAGGGGGAGGCCTGTGACTTTCATGACTGAGCCTCAAGAAATGAAAATTGGATCCCACGTAGAGATGGGATTAGCTTTATTGTAACCCCTGGTATGGAGTGACCTATGATCCTTAGTCTCGCTTGACTAGAAAGGTGGAATCCCTAAGTAGATTGAAAAAAAAGATTTTTGAAAATCCCTCCGAAAAACTCTGATAAAAAAAATGAAAGTGAAAATGGAGCTGTGCAATCTCATTCCCCTTGTTAAGAAAGTGAAAGGAAATAGTGCAGCACCAACCTGCAAACAAGATGGAGTAGTTGTGTCAGGTCCCCAAAGAAATGTATTTTAACCCTATGCCTATTTTTCCCTTTCTGTGGCCTTTCTTTGTGGCTTGCCATTCTGTTGGGAGGGGGGAGCTTTTGGGATTGCTTCACAGTGTCTGCAGGATGCCCTTCCCCCAAGGGATGGAATGTCTCTTCCTTATCTGAGAGATGGTTTGTGCTTGGAGCCAGAAGAAATCAAAAGTGAGAGAGACCTTGAGGAGCCACTGAAAAGACCAGTTACCAAAACACGATGCTACCTGTGGATT